CATCTCGGCTTGTTGGTCATGTGCAAACAGGAGAGGAGGGTTGGAATAAATGCTGCTTCCTGTTTGCGACAGTAAGTGAGCAGTGGTGTCCTGCAGTACTTGCTGTCATTGCCATCTGCCTGGCCCAAGCTCACTTACAGAGGTGGATGGCTGGCACGTAAGGAGGAAGAAACCACGGGATAGGAAATGCATCAGGAAAGGGAACCAACGATTTGCATATTCATCTTCTCCATGGGGTGGGGGTTAATTTTCACTTTCTATCTCTCCTCCTCTCCATTTTCCCCAGGGAATGGCAGTGACGGGGAGAAAACTCGAGATCTGGATCACTGCTTCTCAAAAAGCCCCTTGGTTTGAACGTCATGGGGGCACTAGACTCAGCAGGCTTGAGGATAAAACGAGATCAGTTTTCTACAATAATTGCAAGTGGCCAACGTGGAGGAGTTGATCCGGGATGAACCATCCCAAGGAGAAGGCTTATCATGAGGGGCCAAAACCGACTGGGAAAGCCAGACAAAGGGATGCAGGGACTGCTTTAGATGCCAGCAGGAGGTGGCTGAGTCTGTCTAGAGGGCTCATTGTGAGATGAGGCTGTTCAGGCCTTTTCAAAGGCAGAGTCCAGAAAGAAAGACTGTCTGGGACCCAGGGGAGCCGTCCATGGTGAGTGGGGAATGCTGTCGGTCAAGCTCACTCCATGAGCGGGCAGGTGTGTCCGGCCAGCACTCACCTTAGGAGATGAAGTCCTGGGGTCTGAGTTGTCAGATGAAAGACAGGCTAGGGGTGGGGGGAGCAAGGAGAGGTTGGCACGAGATTAGGAGGCTTAGGAACAACAGAAAAGCTGGGTCCAAAGGTCTGGGATTCTTGGATTTGCCACTTTTAAGCCCTTAAGAGGATCCTGGCACCACCAGAATGGGTCTTCTGACATTACTGGCCGCTTTTCACAGGCTCACCCTTCCTATTAACTGCTGCAGCACCAAATGGCTATGGTCCTGGAACACATCATGCTGTTTCTTGCCCGCTTTATATGCTTTGGGGGAGGGTCTTTGAAAAGTTCACAGAAGATGTTTTATGAAAAGCCTATGTGTGGACTTCAAAATTTTTTTGCGCCAAAATAAACTTGTACTTAAATTCCATTTTCCATGCATATTTTGAAATCCCTTCTCTCTCTCTCTCTCTCTCTTTTTTTTTTTTTTAGAGGACTTTGCCTTAGGGTGTATGCACTCACCAGGGAGAGACAGAGACAGACACAGTAAGAACACCGCCCCCCCTTTCCTGGGGGGATGGCCACACCGCAATCCTTTCTCCTCCATTCTCCTCACAAGATTTTGAGCATGTGTGCATGCACATGTGTCCAACAGGAGTGAAAAGCCACTGACTCTGGGACTCAACCAGTGGCCGATTATGTGGGAGTCTTCTACACCATCTGCTGGCCCCCTTCATATATTTTAAAGTTTCTTTCTTTCATGAGAGAGAGAGAGAGACAGACTGACAGACAAGTACCTTCAACAGGGTCTCATGCTGTGACCCCTCCATTCTTTCAGCTACACAGGATCACACGAGTATGCATACGTGCACATGGCATGTGCGGGTTGACCTGAGAACTGAACTCTGTCCTTCCACATGGCTTCCAGCACTGCAGAGCATTGCACTAATGCTGTTCCACCGTGCCTGGGCCATGTCCGGCTTATACTGTTCTTTTCCTACAGACATGCTTCCACTGCTTTCTTAACCTGAAGAACTCTTCTCATCCTCTCAAACCAAGTTATGATGTTGCTACTCTGACCCTAACACTGTACTATTATCACTGCACATAGCACACTGTAGGGCAATCGATCAGAAATGAGGTCATTCACCTCTCGCGTGGCACAGAGCATGCTTGCCATCTGTGTCTGAGAAGTGCATGAAAAGATATGTCCTAATATGGGTCTAGTTCAACCTCTCTCTGGCTGGAGTACTGACATGGTAATGCAGTCCCTTGACTGGTTTGTTTCTAGAGCCTCAGCAATTCCTCCTCACTTAGACAGAGGAATTTTAATGGCAGAGATTCCTGATCACTCAGTGCTGGCACCAGCCCTGGGATGACCTCACAGTCTCCCTTGATCTTGTAGCCCCTTGGCCCACACTAAAGCTCAGCTCTGCAAAGCAAGAGAGAGAGCAGGGCAGGAGGTATTCCTGGCAATGCCAACCATACCTCCCATTCCAGCCATCCAGGAAGCTGGCTCTTCAGAGGAGGCTCTGAAGAAAGAGGACATGTCTCTAGGATCCAGATTTTCAATCTGGGGGAGGGAATGGGGAGGCATAATGGGCTCCCAGGGATTCATGAGCTATTGTGTGAAGGGACTTTTTCTGGGATGGTTCACAGCATTCATCAGATTTGCAAAGGGGCCCCTGAGCATGAATACAAAAACCCACCATCCCAGAAGCATGCTTGCTCGAGGCAGCTCTGCTCAGAGAACCACCTGTTGAATGCGTGTCACAGAGAACTTGGGTGGGGCTGAGGCGGATCAGGGAAGAGAGTCAGGCTCCCCCATAGCTGGATATCCACACCCTGTCACACCGCGCTGGGAAAAGCCTTTGAGAGTCAATGTGTAATTTAAACACACACAGTTTAAAGAAGTCCCAGGTTCTGTGTCTCTAATTACATTAAATGCAACAAGAGGGAGTTAGCCTCAGAGTACCTGCATTGACCTTTAGATTCCTTAGAACAATGAACCTGTCAAAAAATAAACAGACAAATCTCCAGGGTCTCAGCCCTGATGAAAAGTTGCATTTGACCTCCTCCTCCCATCGGGCTCAGGAAAACTCTAACAAACGGAGAGATTCTGTGCAGTGGCTCTTTTACATTTGAACTTTTTATTTTATTTTATTTTTGTTTCTGGCACAGAAGCATGCCATGGTAGAAGACAGAGGAAAAAGGGTTTTCCATGTTAAAGAGGCAAGAAGCATGTGTGTGCATGCGCACGCACACACAGAAGGCAAATCTAAAACTGGAGCAGTTTATATTAAACTCTGGGGAACTAACAGTCACTTTTTACCCACATCCTGTAAGTGTATAAAAAAATACACAGGAAAAAGATTTCTACTAAAATGTGTATGTGCTTTTCTTTTCTTTTTTTTTCCTTTTTAAAGAAAAAACATAAAATACTCCAATCTACCCAGATATCTGAAAAGCTCTGTTGGACTTATTTTGTTTCTTTCTTTGCTAGATTCCCAGTGTCCTTCCCTTGACTTCTGGAAAGACAATAATAATAACCCCCCTTACAGTGAATCTTTACATTTCAGTTGTTCAGAGCACATGCTTCGTACTGTTACTACAGAGCAGGGGTGGGCGCTGTCACTGACTTGCTAAGTAACGCCGGACAAGTTTCTTAACCTCTTTCAGGACCCAGATCTTCAGCAGTTAGGAGGGGAGTACGAATAAAACTGATGTCAAAGGGTGGCTGAGAGAATTCAATGAAATAATGTGTTCAAACAACCCTAGACTTGACCTGGCGTACTATAAGCATTCAATAAATAGTAGCTAAAGAACAGGAACTGGAGAATAACACCTCAGCCAATGAAGACAATTATTCCAAGGACACATTTGCATCATTATAATACATGTTAAAACAGGTAGAAGGAAAAAAACAAACAAACCAGGAATGCTAGGACTGTGTTTCTCAGTGAGGGCCCCCTATTTCCAACATCGGATGGGTGGTTAAACTGCTCTTTTCACCCACGCGTGCACTCAGGTCTGGCAGAGAAATGCCCTTCCTCCCCTCCAGCACTGGGTCATCTGTCCAGACCCAGAAAGTCACAGTCTAGAAGGTACACCTTCCATTTCCCAGTAGCTGGGCCCTGAAAGTGCTGTTTGTCCCCCAGACAGCACTGGCAAGGCCTGGGCCTAACCTTGCACTGTGGTTGGCTTTCTGCCCCACCTCTACTGTGCCCTGCTTAGCTGAGTGACCTGGATGGCCCACCCAAGTACATCTCACCAAGAAATGATATTCCTGAGGGTTTGCCAGTCAAATGATCATGGTCCTTCAGAATATATTAGGACTGCATTGTTTTATTTATTTATTTTTTAAAATTTTCTCCCTTGAAGGCTTGAGAGAGAGGGAGAGGGAAAAAGTACCTTCTCAATGAAGGATGGTTACACCACAATCCCTTCTCTTCCATTTCTGACTTCTGTTGAGATTTGGGACATGCATGCACATGCATATGTGCTTAGCATGTTTTTCAAGCCATCGGGGTCCTGATTTGAACTGCATGGTCAACCATGTGGGATACAGCTGCCTTAAGCACAAGGCCATAGGGCTGCCCCAGGATTGCATTTTTATTTTTTTCTCCAAAAGAACTTTTACCTCTACTTTCACCATGTCAGAAAAACAAGGTTCTCTTGACTGGGGAAATGAATTCCTCCTTACTTGTGACAATCTTTGCAGCTAAGCTTGTATGGAATGGTCTTTCCTCCAACTGGCAGGCCTGGTTCCTGACCGCCTCTTACTCAGACCACATACAGCAATTTCACCAACTGTGCTGCTCACGTCACCGGCGCTGTTCTGCGTCTGCCCTGAATCTCCAGGGAGCCATCCATTAAATCCACTAAGTACATTCTCTCTAATCACGTCTCCACAATTGGAATCTTACTTCTTCCAAGATCTGCAAATGGTTTTCCTTGCTAATCACTGCATTAAACCTAAATTTCATTTCTTTCTAGTTAAACTATCTTCCCCACAGGGGAAGAGGAAAGAAAACAAAGCTTTCTTATTTTATTTTATCAAAGAAAGTTGACTTAGCTTTTTAGTAAGATCAATAGAGATATAAGTTAGGAGGCTCTAGTTAAGTCCCTATTATACACCAATTCCTTCAGTATCAATATCTACACCAGGACTGGGGAAGATGGGATTCCAAGGGTCCATTTGGGACCTGCCTTATTTCTATGCATGTGGTAAGTGGCAGCCAAAGAGTACACCATCAGAGATGACATTTCAAAGGAAATCACAGCAATGATACTTCCTTACCCGGCAGTCTCTCTGAAGTGTTTTCATGAGGGCATTGTACGTTTCCGTGTCAAAATACAACCCTTCATGCATGTCCTGCAGGAAATCTAAGTCTTTAAAAGTGGGGCTGGATTTCTCTCTCTCTTTTCGGGATGCTCTTCGCTTATACGTGGAGCCTTTCAAATCATACGTGAAGTGCATTCTCATCGACCGTGGCAAGACGTTGTTCATCACCACAATCCTGATGTTAATGCCTCCCGACTGCATGCAATACAGTCCATAAAATTTTGGCAAAAGAGTCCTTGGGTTCTGGTTTAAATTCTAGAAACAAACAGAGGAAAGAAAATATTTACAGTCTCCTAGTTTTTATAAAATAATGCTCCAGTAAAGATGTGCTCTCAAGCTAATCTGATTATTTAAAATGGGATGTGATTAACTTGCAAAAATTTTGCTGTTTCTAATCTACTTTTTAAAGTTTGTTAGAATGGACTTGTACTCACTAGAGAGAGAAACAGAGAGAGAGGGAGAGGGAAAGTGAGAAAACACTTCCAAGGGGGGATGACTACATCTCAATCCCTTCTCCATTCTCCTTTCAGGATTTTTCACACACACACACACACACACACACACACACACACACAAACACAACATGTCCAGCATGGTTTTCAAGCCAATGTTTTTCAAGCCATTGGGTCTGGAACTCAAACTATGCTGTTGGCCATTTGGGATACAGCTGCCTTAACCTCTGTACTACTGGCTGGCCGTAATCTATTTAAGTCTGCTTATTGAAACAGTAAGTAACTTTACCATTTGAAATGCAAGGCAGTAAAAGTGGCTGAATTGAAAAGGGATATAATGTCCCAAATTAGCTCTAGCTAAACATAGGCAAAAAAAAAAAGGGGGGGGGTAGTGCCATAAGTGACTACTCTCTAAGATAGCTAAAGAAAAAATAAATTGCTAAGGTATAAGAAATGAACATTTAAAATTTTAATAGCATCTGCAAAGCTGTCTTCCAAAATGGTAACACCAATTTATAACCACACTATGTAAAACTATTTATTTTCCAACATTCTTACTTGGGCTGACTATTATCAAACATTGACTGGTGGCAAATGAAAACTTGTTTTTAAAAAGTTTGAATACCACTGATTGTCAAAAACTTTAAAATTTTTTGATGTATTTTTAGCTATCTCATGAATAATTCGGTATTGATACACTTTGCTCATTCATTTTTCTACAGGTTTTTCTATTGGAATAGCTGACATATTCTGATTATTTATTAATTCCTCCTTTAGAGTATAAATATATTCTCCTAGTATGTTGTCCTTTTAATTATTATAAAAACAAGAATATATGTCTACTTTTATTCCACTTTATAAGTAGGTAAAAGATTAAACACTTGACTAAATGGCATATATACAACGAAGCATATCTTTCCTATCCCTGATTCTTCTCCCTTTCCTAACATTCAAGGAAACTACTGTTTTCACTTTCTTTGTATCATTTTCAAAATATCCTCTTATGCTGATGAAAATATTGTGCCTAGTATTTTTTTTTTTTTTTAAGAGAGATTTTTGCTATAGGGTGCGTGTGCTCACCAGAGAGTGACAAAGAGACAGAAAGCAGAAATTGCCCCTGGAGAGATGGCCATGCCTTAATCCCTTTTCCCCCATTCTCCTCTCAGGATTTTGGGAATGCACGCACACACGCCAGTGTGAGTTTTAAGCTCCCGGATTCAGGACATGAACTGTAGTTGACTATGTGGGAGTCTGGCAACAAAACCATTATGCCATTTGCTGGTCCTATGCCTAGAATTTTTTGTCATACAGATGTTTTTCCTTTTGATATAGTATCATTTTATTATTTTTTTTTGTGCTTCTTGGCTTTTGAACAAAGCTTTTTATAGCCCCAAGATTATATAAACTTCTATATTCCCCAAGTTTTTCATAGTTTGATTATTACATTTGGTCTTAACTTCATATGGTATGTTTTGTGTGTGTGTGTGTGTCTGTGTGTGTGTGTGTGTAAAATTTCTGAAGTAGGGTGTTTAATTTCTCCCTCAAATGGATGACTATTTATTAAACGGTTCACCCTTTCCCAATTAAATCTCCTCTAAGTCAATACAATAAGTTGGCAGATAGGGCTCTATTTGTGGATATTCTCTTTGAGGTCATTGATCCTTTTGTCTATAGCTGTACAAATGCTATATATATATTTTTTTTTTGAGAGGTTTTTGCTACAGGGCACGTGTGCTTGCCATCAAGACACAGAGAGACAGAGAGACAGAAAGCAAGAAGTCACCTCCCAGGGTGGATGGCCATGCCACAATCCTTTCTCCTTCATTCTCCTCAGGATCTTGGGCATGCATGCACACACACCTGGCGTGAGTTTAAGCCACCAGGTCCAGGACTTGAACCAGGGTAGACTACATGGCAGTTCAGTGACATAGCCATTACGCTAACTGCTGGTCCCCAAATGCCACATATTTAAAATCAGCTATGGCCTTATAGATTTTTGGTATATATTATGGTAGGCCTACATTTTACTTCTTTTTCAACAGTTTTACCCATTCTTACAACTCTTTTGTTTGACTATTCATTGTTAAAAATTTCCTTGCAAAGGTATTTGGTTTGTCTTTCAAATGAATCAAATTTGTCAAATCCTGGGAAGAAATCCTATTGAGATTTTTGATTAGGATTAGACTAGATTTATAAGTTGATTTTTTTATGTTTAATTTTTTTTACATTCATTTACTGTATATTTTTACAGCATACGAGATGAATTTTCCCATGGAATCTTCACAATACTGGGTTCAAGAAAAATGCATCTGTTCATTTTTTTTTAGATCTTTTGTATGCCCTTCAGTAATATTTTCCATCATAATGGTTATGTACATTTGGTTTTTATAGACTCCAGTATTTTAGCGTTTTTCTTGTTACTACAAAAATTCTTTTGCTTTCCCAATCAGATTTACAGGATATCTTCATTTCTTTATATATTCATTATTCTAATAATGTTCATTATAAATTATTATTGAGAATTAGATCTCCTTTTTCTCTCATATTCTCCAGCTCCATGTCATCTATTAGGTCATTGAAAAAGTCACGATGCATTTCTGCACAGAAAAACAGGAAAAATACACCATGATCTTTCCAATGACCTAATGTATAATGGAATGCATTGATTTCACAGATTTATTTAAAATCTAGAAATCTGCCAGACTCAAATTACCTCTAGAAATCACTGGCTTATTTTCTCAAACTTTTGCTCATTTTCTTTTTTAAATATATATTTTAATGTGAAGAAAGGCAGTATTAGCTTTAATAAATTAAAATTAAAAAATGGTAAGAGAACTTTGCTTAAGACTTAAAGCCAGGAAACAGACTAGGATTCTGTTCAGATAGCAGGTACATGGAGCTGTCCACAACTCAAGAGAAGACAAAAATTCTTAACTCTAGAAAACAAAGCATAGAAGAAAATCAGTAATGTTGTAGTCAAAAGTCGTAAAATTATATTTCACCATTTCACGCTCATGTACTTAACCAATCTTCTGTTGCGGTCCAATCTTATCATTTAAATTCTGGAAGATAATATTCAACTCTGGACTTGTCCCTACCATTAAGCTGGCTATTTTCTTAGTTGTTTTAGAACTCTTATTTCTGTGTATCTGACTTCAATTTTCCTGAGATAGCACTCTCTTAAGGACTTTTTGAAGAACTGGGCTGGTATTGGTAAATTCTTTCAGGTTTTGTTTATCTGAGAATGTTCTTGGTTATTATCTTTTCTTCCCATATGAAGGATAATCTTGCTGGATATAGTATTCTTGGTTGAAATTGTTTTTCACTCAACACTTTGAGTATATTTTACCATTCTTTCCTTGCTTGCATTGTTTCTAATGAGAGGTCTGCTGTTAGCCTGATGGGATATCCTTTGAAAGTAACTTGAAGTTTCTCTCTTACCAGTCTTAATATCTTGTCTTTGTCTGTGGTTTTGGTCAAGCTGGAGATATAGTGTATCTTGGAGAAGATATTCTTGGGTTGATTCTATTTGGGGTCCTTTGTACTTCTTGGGTCTGGATCTTTGAATGCGTCTCTAGGTTTGGAAAGTTTTCTTCCATGATTTCATGGAATAGATTATAAATGCCTGGATTAGTCTCTTCACCTCCTGTGATACTGATTATTCAGATGTTTGGGCATTTAATGGTATCTAGTATTTCTGGTTTATTATTCTCATTTTTTGGAGCTATTTTCTCAGTCTTTGTGGTGGATTTTACTAGTCCAGCAATTCTGTCTTCTACATCTGAGATTCGATTTTTTTGTATGATCTAGTCTGTTTTTAATACTTTCAAGGGACTTGGCTTCCTGTATTATAGCCTTCATCTCCAACAGTTCCATTTGATTATTTTTTGTGGTGTGCATTTCCTTTTTCATCTCTTGCAAGAACTTCCTCCCCTCCTGGAACTCACTGGCTTTGTCCTTCTGGAGTTCATTGTCTCTCTTCTCTTCCATCCTGCTAGCTTTGTCACTATGAATATTCTAAATTCTTTATCAGATATTTCCACAAGTTCCATTGTACTATCTGTGGATGAAGTGGAATTATTTTTTTCCCTTGGGAGAGAGGTATTTTCTTGCTTTCTCATATTTATTTCTAGTCATCTGATGGGTTATTTGTTTCTTCCTAAGATCTAAAGGAAAAGGTAATCTGCAAACGTTTTGCTGTTCCGTTTTTCTTCCTTTGTGCCACAGATTCAGTGGGAATTGAGGAATATATTGACTCTAATGGTAATCGGATGCTTGGCCATCTTTCATGTAGACTGTCTAGTTCTCAGCAGAACATCTTCGTATCACTTATTCTCTGAAAGCACTAGATCTCAGCTCCCATGGAGGACTCAGTCTTCTTCTGCAATTTTTTTTTTTTTTTTGGAGAGGTTTTTGCTACAGGGTGTGTGTGCTCGCCAGACAGACAGAGAGACAGAAAGCGAGAAATCACCCCCCAGGGGGGATGGTCACACCACAATCCCTTCTCCTCCGTTCTCCTCTCAGGATCTTGGGCACGCACGCACACGCACCTGGTGCGAGTTTAAGCCACTGGGTCCGGGACACGAACTGCGGTCGCCTATGTGGGAGTCCAGCGACATAGCCATTATGCTAACTGCTGGTCCCTCTTCTGCAAATTTTACTGATTTTCAATAGTGTCATTTACTGAAAACACTGGTTATATTTTTCTTCTATCTTTTTTTATAATCAAATAGTCATTGCCCAAATTTCTATCAAACATATCAGAAAAGATCACTGGTGGAGGACATCCTTGTTTTTCCTATATTTTCAGGGAAATAACTTTTATTTTTCTATGTAAGATATGCACATTTTGGAGACTGGTAAACTGTAATATGTGTGTGTTCATATACTTACTTATTAAGCTAAAAAACTTTCCTCTCAATATTTATAATTTCAGTTAAGAGAAGATGTTGAATTTTTTTAAAGAATTATTTTATTTAACTTTATTTATTTT